GTTGGACATTTTGCTGATTTAAATCTTGCCTATGATCGATTAGAAGAAGCTCAAGTCCTTGAGATTGTTAAGATTTATTGTTAAAATTTTAAAAATAAAATTTAAAAAATTTTATAAAATTTTTTAAAAAATACCGAATACCGGCCGGTATACCGAAAATGTTGAGACGGTATTTTCCGGTATCGGTATTTTTCCGGTATATCGATACCGCTACCGTACCGGTCAAATTTTGAAAAAAACGGTATTTTTCGGTATCTGTATTTTTTCGGTATACCGATACCGAATACCGGAAAAGGTCATTTGCCGAACACTAGTATTAATGTGAGATTTATAATAATTTAAAAAATAAATAAAATTTTCATAGAAAAGTTGTAAATATACTAAAATTTAAGCAAATTACCTTCATTTTTTAATATTTTTAAAATATTAATTATTCAAATATACTACATTTAGATTAGGTTTTTCTAATAAAAGTTTGGTCTTTTGATTAAACAAATTCTTAAAGCTAACGTGTATTATGTATAAACAATAGTATTAATAATCTAAAATAGAAAATATATTTACAGGGTGCGGCAAATTAGCGGCCCTTTTGTTTTAGCTATAACTTTCTTCATTTTTAATGAATACCGATAATTCTTTTTTTCCTAGATTCCCGACACTTTAGCAAAATTGATGATACCAAATGATAAAAACTTGGTTCACAGATTGCAAAGATAAACGGGTTCGAACTCTAGAAAATGTACAGGGTGGGGCAAAAGTTCGGCGACAAATGTTTTTAATAAAATCTATTGTAAAAAAATTTTATTTAAGATTAAAAAATGATAAAATATAATCAATAGGATATAATAATCATTTTGTTAAAGTAATTTCTCAAAATGACCGACCCTCACTGAAATACACGCATCCAAACACTTACGGATGTTACTCACAATGGTCGCACATTGTTCATCGGTTATTTCGTTCCAGGCCCGCCCAAAACAATTTTCAGTTCCTCCGATGTTGCGTATCGGATTCGGCATACTTTTTGCTCCAGAAATGCCCAAATAGAATAAACCACTGACTTAAATCCAGTGAGTTTGAAGGCCTTAAATCTTTCCCCCAAAAACCAGGAAACAGCTCCCCACAGAGCTGGATTGTCGTTTTGGCTCCATGCGCGGGTGCTTAATCCTGCTGAAGCTAGAATTGGTTTTCTCCGTAATGCTATAACGCCCAAGGATGCAAAACCCCCCTCAGAATGCCATTTTTAGACTAGCATTAATTTTTACATTTCATCACTCTGTTATGGCGACCAGCTGCGACCAGGCGTTTAATCCTTCAACATTTCTGAAGCTTCTGATGCTTCATTCGATAGATAAGGAAATATCCGCGGCTGATCTTTTAGCTCCGAAGTCTAAGCTTCACTCTGACAATTCTTTGGAGGCTCCTCGGGCTCATTCCGAGATCTGAGGCCGTTTTACACATCGATTGATCGGAAAAATGGCGAATTTGGCATCTGACCACGTCTATGCTTTCAGGCGTAACTGCGGTTACCGGCCGGCCACTACTAGGATGGTCCTTAGTATTTCCAAGCTCCTGATATTGTTTTATTGCTTTGGAAACTAGCATACGACAGATATCGAGCCGTTTAGCGATGTCACATTTTCGAACATTTTTAAAAAACAAAGAAATAATAGAAGCACGATTCTTTAACATTCTGTAAAATTTTTACTTTATGAGATAGGAAAAAATTTTCAAGATAAAATGTGTAGAGCGTGAATCATAGAATATGGAAAATCTAAAAACAAAGCAAAATATAAAGTAAATTTTAAGAAAGGACAAAATAAAATTTGTCGCCGAACTTTTGCCCCACCCTGTATAAACATTTTTTCATGCCAAAGTTTAGATGATCATAACTTCGTTCAAAATAATTCAATCCGAGTGATTTTGGCACCAATCAACTCCTCTCGCTCAGGAGCATCGATATAGCTAATAAACTCGTTTTTGAAAATTTTACCTAAAAAATTTATATTTGCAAAATTTACTTTATTTTATCAATCAGAGAGTCATATCTCTGTACATTTACGTGATAGACACCTGATTTTGACGTCATTCGAATCAGATTTGAGAGCTGAACCGAATGATATATAAACTTCATAAATCAAAATAATAACCTTGAATCCAGGCCAAATTTTATCCAAAAATTTTTGCTCGAAATTTGATAGAAAATTAATCAAACTTAATTATAAGATTTAAGGGAGATTTTGGTATCAACAATTTTGCTAAAGTATCAGGAATCCAGGAAAAAAAGAATTATCAATTTTCGAGTAAAATTTAAAAAGTTATAGCCAAAACAAAAGCGGCCGCTAATTTGCCGCACCCTGTATTATTATATTTTGTAATTATATATTTTCTAAATAAAATTTCTCATATAGCTAAATTTAAAATTTTTCTGCAAATCTAGACTGATTAAGTTAGATTTAATTTTAATTAATTGAAAATAGATACGAATAAGTATAATCTTTATAAATATTTTAAAATGCTTTAAAGTAAAAATAAAAAACTCTTGGATAATAATACTTATAATAATTCATTACAAATATATAAAAATGTAGTCTTCTATGTAAGTGAAACAACGTGTAGATTATATAACACAAATATAATTTTATAAAAATTAAATTTTTACAAACAAAAAATCTTCCAAAAGAAATAAATTGAACAACTTGTTTCTCAATTCTACGAGAAAGCAGTTGATTGGCTAAGAGACAAAGAGTTAGAATCAAAACTATTGAAATAAATTTTAATATGTCAGAAGTTGAGAATAAAGTCAGCTTGGAAAGTCACAAAAATATGTATAAAAGATTGAAATCAAATTTATATAAAAGTTATTTTATGAAATGAACTGGAAATTGCCGATCGTCTAGAGCATGAAATGTTCTGAAGGAAGAACATGATTCCATATAATGAAAAGATTTTGGTTAATTTATCTACTTGATTTAAACAAAATAAAATAGTAAATTAATATTTAATTTGAAAAAATAATCATTTAAAATGAAAATAATAACAAAAATTATTTTATTTTTATATAATAATTACGGTATATTTATAATCAAAATAAATATGGTTAAAGATAAATATGGTCAAAATAAATACGTTAAAGATAACGTCAACTACCAAGTATTATTTGTGAGCAGAAAAGACATTTAAAAATAAAATAATATGAAAACGACATTGGTATTCAAAATATATAATATAAATAATTAATTTAATTAGGTATTTTATCAATATTTAAATTTATATTAATTTATGAATTTTAAAAATTTAAAATAATTAAACTTTAAAATAATTTGATAAGTCGATGAGGATTATTTTTAAAAATGCGGATTTGCGGAATTTTGTGGTCCTTTGAAAATTATGAGGATCTTCCAAAATTGAGAAAAAAACAATTCACTATAACTAGGGACGGTGAAAGCATTGGCTCAAGACAACTGTAATTTTTCATTTAATTGTTCGGATTTTAATAAGATAGTAGTCATTAGTAGTGAGAAAAATGCTAAATTCAATTGTTGGCGTCAAAAATAACGCATAAAGTTATTTTAATTCTATTTTTGTGTTTGATAATTGTTTGCGGATTTTTAATATAAAATGTGGATTTTTTATACATATAAAAATTGTGGATTTTTAAAAATTCGAGATCGAAGCCCTGGGTTATACTAAAATTACTATAAGAAGGAATATGTGCGAAATTACCACATAAAAAATAAAAAGAAATTTTTAAAAATTTTTTGGTAAAAAAAAGATTGGTAAAAATTTTTTAAAAATTAAAAAAATTCTCATTTTATTTCCCATTAGCCTTAGCATTAACTGAATCTCCTTATCGCCAATTATATTCCACGTTTTAAAAGGTATGTTTAATCTTCATTTTTCCTTTAACATGCTGACATGACAGAATTAAGATAAATTTTATTTCTATAATTTTTACTAAAACAAACGAAAATCTCATGGAACACAAAATTATAACAAAAATTTTTTATTTTACGTAGATATGTTTATTTGATCATCTTTTTTTAATTTATAAATTTTAAATCGCGTACCACAACCCACGTTTCATTAAGCGCTAACGATAGATTTTAGCTAAACATAAGTGTATAAATATTATAATGACTGAAGGGTATAAGCAACATTATTACCAGCTTTTATTTAATTCCTCATTAAAATATGGTTAGTTGCTATAATTTTTAAAATTATTAAACCCTCACACAATACTAGTTAAAACTAAGTTTAAGATGTTTTTAATAGTTGATTGCCGATTATTTGGGAGATAAGCCAAGAAATACCATTGAGTATACCTATAGCTTTTATATTGCTGAAAAAGTGTCGAAAACTTATTATAGTTATAAGTAGAGCCCGGATTTATATGGATTTACATATTGTGAAGAGCAATAGTTGTTCAAAGTAATGGAAGTTTTTAAAATAAAGGAACACCATAAACCGACAATCATAGATAGCTATAAGCCGCCATTATCTAAGCTTAAATTATAGAGCCATTAGTTATTTCTTGAGAAAACCGTTGGGAAGTAAGATGGACTAAGCTTTAAAAAGACTATGGAAATCTTTTGTTCATATTCAGGGAAGTAAGATGGACTAAGCTTTAAAAAGGCTATGGAAATCTTTTGTTCATATTCAGCTGAAAGTTGCAGGCTAAACTCTTTACCTTGACCCTAACAGTTTTGATTTATGCCAAATAATAATTCAAATTGTTTCAGAATTTTCCTTGTCTACATTGCTTTGTATTGTTCTATCTAATACATAACACCTTTCAATCTGATGAATTTGATATATTTGAAAAGGAATTTGATTTTGACTTTGATATCGATAAAGATATTAAATCTTTCGTTGAATCATTTAACTTACAAGATTTTACTTGGAAGGTAATTTGGGAATAAAAAAAGTATTTTTAAAATTTTATTCAGGCAAAATTCAACGAGAAATTTGCAAATATGACGTCGGATACCAGAAAATTAATGTGTGGTGTAAACACAAGATCACCCAAAACTCCCACAGCTCTGCCAAATTTTAAAGCAAACAGCAAACTACGATCAAAGCGTTCAAATCCTTCCTGTACTTACAATATCGAATTTGATTCAAGAAAACAATGGCCACAATGTGCAGATATAATCAACATTATTAGAAATCAAGGCCAATGTGGGGATTGTTGGGCAGTGGCAAGTTCATCTACATTTACTGATCGGTACTGTATTGAGAGAGCTAAGAAAGGCTTAAATACACCAGTCTCTGATCCTGATAATCAGTCATCAGATGATGAAATTCTTAGTTGCGCACCATCGACTAGCGGGTTAATAGCTTAAAATTAATTTATACCACAAAAATAAATCTAGATGTAACGGTGGATCTCCATACTATGCATGGCAATACATGAAAAAGAGTGGTGTAGTCTCTGGATCAAATTTTGAACAAAAGACCGGTTGCAAACCATATTCTATTGATCCAGCAACCCCTGGTCACACACCTCAATGTGTCTCGAAATGTACTAATTCAAAATGGCCAATTCAATATAATAATGATAAGAAATTTGGTATTTATATTAAGTATATTAGGCAATTTGTTACTTTCATTATACTTTAGTTATATCAACTGGTCAGATTTTGCCGAATATGGCTGTTTCTGAAGCAGTTAAGACAATGAAGGCAGAAATTAAAGCAAACGGTCCAATTACGGGTGTAATGGATGTTTATGATGATTTCTATCATTATGGTGAAGGAGTTTATAAGGTAATATAGAACCTCTCTACAGGGTGGGGTATTTGTGAACAAGGTCTTTGCTAATTTACCTATTTGATAACTAATAATTTTTAATTGTTATTTATCAACTTAATAAAATTTAAGAGAACAACAAACAAAAACCCACTAGGGCATGCAATTCGTTTAATTGGGTATGGAAAGCAAACATGTTCAGGAAAGGTCCAACCATTTTGGCTTGCTATTAATTCATGGGGAAAAGACTGGGGAATGAAAGGAGTATTTATGATTGCTCAAGGAAGTGATGAATGCAAGATCGAAACTTGGGGAGCTTTTTTTGGGAAACCTAAAGTTTAAACGTTGAAATTATGTGTATAATGGAGCTGTCCAAGACCGAAAATTTTCCAAGACTCGAGACCAAGACTAGACCTCAAGACATAAGGCAATTTTGTTTCCCTTAGAGCAAATTTTTGGCTTATTTTCGTACCTTAGACAAAAGGAACTATAATGTTGAGGTATGTATTTATAGAAGATATAATAAGACTTAAAGAAAATACTTTGCTTTCGCTGTCGAAGGCGCAAAAATTTCGATATTTAGCGTCGCAAGAGCATGACCGGAAAACCCCAAGAAAAGAGTTGAGACTCAAGACCAGGATTCATGGACAGCTCTAGTTTATATTAATATGTTTAACATTGTGTGGGTTACATTAATTTAAATAAATCACTGGATATCACAAATAAATTTAACTAAATAAAATATGTATATATTTTCATTTTAAATAATAATACATACTTTAGATCCATCCATATCTCTCTCTATCCTTATCCCCCAGCTATTAATTCACCAAACTTGAACTAGTACTATAAATAAAAATTTTAACAGATTAATTATTTATATTCGAAAAAAATATTTTCAACATAATAAAGAAAATATTAGAGAAAATATTAGCCCTAATTCCGAAAGTTAAGGGGTGCTTATAATTATCTGACAGTCGTCTTATAGGAGATACCTGTTATATCCCCTACTACTCATAAATAATTTATATCTTTTTTTCATTCGAATATGAATTATAAATTTGTAAAAATATTTTAAACTATGATATTATAACTTTAATCATATTTTCTATTTAAAACTAGGGGGTGCTTTTCATTTTCTGTCAGAGTGTAAAAAAATTTAAAAAAAGCAACAAAATTATTTATTTAAATAAACTTTAATAAAATATAAAAATTTTCAACAATTTTATTAAACTTCCATTTGTTCATTTTCCTCATTTTCGGCAATTTCCTTTTCTTCTGATACTTTTCTGTCTTCTTCCATCTGTTTTTCCTTATAGCTTTTTGTTAGAGAAAGTTGCCCTATAAATGATCAAAATTAGAAACAGAAAAAAAGTGTTGAATGATCTAATAGTGCCCTCAATGTCAGTCTATATAGTGCCTATCAGGATTTTTAGAAAAAATTTCAAATTCGAAAAAACAATACAAAACTTGAGTGAGATCATGGGGAGGGGATATTGAGAAAGATTTTCTTTGACAGAAAGGTGCAAAAAAAAATATTTTCTTTTTATTTTCTCAGACTATGTATAAATTAATATTTTTTGACTTTGTCGGCATTTTACAGCCTATAAATCCATTTCATAATAGTTATTAGTCATGTAAAAAGGGCATTCATGTAAACAAAATCTATCTTTTAAACTTGTTGTTTAATTTAAAAAAAACAAAAATATAAAAAAAATTTTTAAGCAAATATTTTCTTTTATCTTGTTTACTCAAATAAACCCCCCCCCCTTTCCTACATATTAATTTTCCTTGCCAGAGGTTGAAACAATAATTGTCTTCATAAAAATAGTATAAATTAGCATTTCTAAAACCTTGATTCTTGATTTTGGTTGGGTACCTTGACCAGATTCTTGACCTTGAATCAAGGAAAAATCAAGGAACTCTGAAAAATGCCTTGATCTGGACTCTAGATCCAGGAAAAATCGAGGTCTGGATCCAGATCCAGCCCCTCTCTAGTAAAAACGGTAATTTAGGATGAAAATTAGTAATATTTTGATCCTTTTAATATTCAATGGAATATTATGGAGTTTAATTACTTCAATGGAAAATGAAGATCAAAAAGATTTAAATGAAACTGGTTCTAATCCAAAAGATAAAAATAAAAAATCGAATGATGAGGCTGAATCGTCGGGTAAAACGGAAAGTCAAAATGAAGAGCCAAAAACCAAAATTAACAAAAATAAAATGAAAGGGATATTTGGACGTGAAATAGGAAGTAAATTAAGCAATAAATTTAAAGACTACTATGAAGAGAAAGAAAGGGAAATTGAAAGGGAAATTGAAAGGAAGAAAAAAGAAAATGCAAGGTTGGAATTTATACGAAGGTTAAGTGAAATTTGTGCTGTAATTGGCATTTAAAGAGACTAAATGCGGTTGGACCTCATCACTGCTGGGTATGGCTCCGCGAACTAGGATTTTGAAAGCCGGGGCCTAATTTAAAGGTTTTAAAAGCCTGGAGCCGGGCCAACAAATGCCCAATACCCAGCATTGGACCTCATTTTAGCGAACACATTGGATTCAAAAAACGAGATCCGGAAGCTGAAAAATTAGAGGTCTTAGAGCAATGTGCAAAAACACAGCCAAATTAATTCTCACTTCTTTCATAATTAGTCGGATTTCGGTTTTTAGCACCACCATTTTAGATACCTCTCGTTTTAGTTAACGTTTTAAATTTGGTTGATGATGGCAAAGGCTGCCTTTTAATTTATTTTTAATATAGTGAATACGCTAAGATATTTTTTAATTAGATTGGATTACTTAACCCAATTTTGGACACGATTTGTTCTTTTAAAATATAATTCAAATTTATATTTTAGAAAAAATAGAAGAGAAGTCTATCGAGACCACTACCGAAGGAATAATGCAAGACGTCATGAATATAATCGAAACTACTACGAACAGAATAGAGCAAACCTGAGAGAATTAAATCGAAAATACTACCAACAGAATAAAGAAAAAATGCGAGAAAGAAATCAAAAATACCGTCTAGAAATGAGAGCTCGACAAGTTCTTCCGATTCAAGCTGATAATAGAGAAGGGACTTCATCTGTTAATCCACAAATTAATTATGGAAATGAAGGGAATAATTTTGAAGAAGCCTGTGTTATTTCTGAAAAAAGGCCTGAAGATGAGGAAAGCGAAGAAGAACAGAATCCAACAAAAGAAGAGAAGAATGATGATAATTAAATGGGATTTAGCAACAAAAGAAGAAAGAGTGCTTTTTGGATAAGCAACCCCCCCCCCTCCTTCCAAGTTTGGGCATCATTTATTTTTCCCTTCTTCATGCCGTTGATTTATTTTTCTTAAGCAATATACCGTAAAAGCTCTAATAGAAGCCCATCCCTAATAGAAGCCAGTGCCCTATTATAGGTCCACACGATGGGGGTAGTGAAAATAGGCCTAGGGCTTCTATTAGAGCTTTTACGATAAGTGTAAGGAATATGGTTGCCTGCCCGGTTTGGTTCGAAGATAGAATCGGGCTTCGATTTTTGGCCCGAAAAAGAATCGACCGGCCCGGCCAATAAAAATGAGGCTCGAAAAAATGACTCGAACGTCGGCCCGATTCGAAAACGGCAACCCTAGTTAAGAATAAATGTTATTGTTAGACCAAATAAAATCATAAATGAAAAAGGAAATAATGAGAACCAAACTAGGAGGGGAGGGGGCATATCCAAAAAGTACTGAAGAAAAGGAATAAAATACATATATTAAAATTATTTTTTAAAAATGTAATCCACTGTTCGATTAGTCTGATATTTATGTAGTAAAAATAAAGTATTAATAGATAATTGATTTTTATATTTTTATAACGAATATGAATAATGAATTTAAGGCTTATTTGTTGAAGGACTGAAGATTAAAGTTGTCGGATTCGGACCCGAAGGTTTCCAACTATCCGACAACCTTGCTGAAGATCATTAAATAATGGGTTGTAACACAATTAATGTCGTCTTTTCTCAATAAACAAATTCAATCAATGATATAATCTCCTTGTTGTAACACTACAAGTCTCCAGCGCTTCCTCAACTTTCAAATTCCTCCCTCCCAAAAGTCTGTGACGAGTTTGGAAGCAGCACAGCCCAATACTATAAAGTCCATAACTTTCGATTTACAAAAATTATTCAAGGAAATATAAGCTCTCATCGAAAAGCCTGAGATATGAAAGTTTGGAGCTAAAGTTTTCCCTACCAAAATATAATTAACATTAACCTTTATCAAAAACAGCAACAGGATTCTTATATTTTGAATGATACAGCTCTTCTGGTATTTCACGAACAAATAAATCAACCATTCCTTTCAGACTCAAAAGTTTGTTTAAATGTTGTCCACAAGGATTCGATTGAGAAACTGAAAATAAATTACAATTTTTAAGAAGCTAAAATCGAGACTGTGTTTGGAACCATGCCTAAGGGGTTTTTTCTGACTTTCCCCCCCCCCCCCCTTTAATTTTCTTAAAAACCCCACAAACCCCCATCTTAGGGTCAGACATTTTTCTTCCCTCTTTTTTTCGTCAGGCCTCTTGCTTTCGTTTTTCCTATTTGTAAGACTATGTGAAGAAAGCAGAGAATGAAAATAAAAACATAGTTCCCTTCATTACTCTTTTCCTTATACTCAACTACCCCTAAGGACTGGAAACTTTAAACGGCCATAACGGGATCCCAAAGTCATTTATCAAGAAAACGAATATCCCTTCGCAATAGGAAGTCAGGGGTCCTCTATCGAATGATACCAAGAAACAATACTAAATTCGCAGTCTCAATAATAGACGTTCCCTTGTCAGAGCCAAGGCATTCTTTCTAGACCCGTGAGTTTCCCCAACTAAAAATTAAAGGACCACTCAGAATCCTATCCAGAACATTGGATACAAAAATTTTCAATTTTCTAATAATTTAAACCAAACCTCCACCACAAGAATATTCGTCTTCAGAAACTTCTTTAGTTAAAAAACCAATTTTCCCTTGTAATTTGAATAATTTGCCCATATTTTGAATTTGCTCAGTTTGTTGATTTGTTGTCATTGCTAGAGAAATTTATCTGAAACTTGACAAAATATAAATTGAAAATCTTAAATGCGTGTCTGATAAATTCGACAGCGACTAAATTCGACAGTGAACTATTTTTTCTTTTTTCACCGTTTTCCACGATTTTCGACAGCGATTAATTTCGATAGCGATTGATATCAAATTTTTAAGAGAAAGAGAATGAAGAAAGGAGAGACATTAGAGAAAAATACAAAAATTTTGGCAAAATATTAATCTTTTGGCGTTTTGTTTAAAAAATTTTTTCGTTGAATAGGAGATTTTTTGGGGATTTTTTTTATTTTTTTGCAAGATTTTCATCATCTTCTAGAGATCAAGCTGGGGCTGGACCAGGGCCTAGGTTTTTCCTGTACACAGAGTCCAGGCCCAGACATTTTTTGACCTTCCTGGGGTTTCCTGGACTACAGGCCCAGGATCCGATCCAGATCAATAAATCAATCTCCAAGAACAGGCCCAGGCTTTTCAAAAATCTCGATCTCTATTAGAGACCGGAACGGGATCGTGACCTGGTCCCGTTTCCCGGCTTTTTTAAAGATGCCGGGATAAAACGGATCGGGAATTCCCAGTCCGGGTCCCGGCCGGTTAATTTTCATTTCCCGTTTTCCGATCCCGGTTTTTTTCAAAATTCTGGTCTCTAATCTCTATTATCTTGTCGTTTAACGAGATGAAAACCTTAGGGTTTTCGAAGATTATACCTATACTTTTGACTTTTTCCTTATTTTATTTTTTCATTTCTCCTCTAAATTTCTCTTCCTTCTTCCCTAATAAACAATAAACCTTATTTTAATTTTTTTAGAATCACAAAAAAATGATGGACAAACTTTTGCTTTCAAGGAGGACTTTAGTTTCAAATATTTTAATTCGTAATTATGCGGCAACAACTACTCCAGTTGTTGAGCCAAAACAGAAAAAGGTTTTTTTTGGCTTTTTTAGTTTTCCTTTTCTCAAACAAAATTTTCAGGGTTTGAGCTATTATTTGGAATTCTTCAACGACACGAAGCCTTTGGATCAGTCTGGGACGATTCTTGCAAATATTGGGAAGAAATTGCATCATGACCCGTTGCCTAGCCTTCCGAAGGATTTTAAGGAATTTCCTGAGAGGGATTTGGTTTTTCTTTTAATTTTTTTGAATTTTTTACTTGCTTCAAATTCAGGTCAATTTTCCCTACCCGGAGATGCAATTGTATCCTGCAAAGAATAGATTTGTTCTTATTCCTGATAGTTGGTGCAAAGCTATTGAGAAAGTGACGGGAACTTCTGGTTTTTATTTTTTTTTATAAAAATGGGGTGGGTACTTAAATTCTAGGATGTTGATTTGTTTATTCCTGTTTAACCAGACATTATTTTTTCCTCGCATTAGAAAAAAATTTTTTTGTCCAAAATTGTTTCTTGATCCACTTAACAATGATTTGGGGAGTTTAATGAGTTTAAAAATGGCAAATAAATTTCTATACACAAGTGGGCACCAAATTTATAGATTTAGAATTGTATTTTTAAACCGTCCTTTAATTTCTCAATTCCACAAAATTTTAACATTCTTCGATATCACAAAGTGATAAATTTTTTTGACCAAACTCTCTTAAATTTAGCTTTTAATTAAAAAGTAATTTTAATTTCCCTCCAAAAAATATTTTCAGGTCCATATATGACAATTTTCACAATCGCCGCATTTTTTGTCAACAAAGAAATTTTCTGTTTTGATGAGCATGGAGTGCCATTGCTTTATATTTTCATTCCCATGTATTTGTTTTTGAAGCATTGTTTTGGATGTTTTTTTAATTTAAAATACTTTTTATTAAAAATTTTATTTCAGACAAACTTGAGAAAAATTATTATGAATGGTATAAAAACCAAATGGATGAGAGGAAAGACTTTATTAAGAGTGAATTGAAGGAAGCTGTTGATTTTAGAAAGGTTTTTTAAAGAGTTTAAAACAATAATTCTGACCAAAATTAGGATTTTTTTTGAAAATGGTAATTTTCTGTGAATATTTGTTGGTTTGAATTTTATTTTAGATTTTCTGGCCGCTCCCCCTCACTATATTCCTTTGTTTCTTTTTCAATAATTTTAGACTAACCAAACTTTTGGGTTTCCTGAAAAAGATATTTTTAATAGAAAAAGGAAATTGTGGAGGGTTGGGAGATTGCGATTGATTAGGAATTTTTTGGGATATTTGTCTCTTGATTTTATAAATGTCTAATATGTAAAGTCTGAATTTTGATTAAAGTTGAAAAAATTTTGTCTGGAATAATTATTTTGTTAAATTTTTAAATTTTAATTTAAAATTTAAACTAAAAAAAATTAAAATTTCTACTTCAAGGGCTTAGGAAATTTAAAATAATTTATTTAGAAAATTTTTTAAATTAAATTTTATTTTTTTTCCAGTTTTCAAAAGAACAATCCGATTCATTCAAAGCAACCCAAGAAAATTTCCCAACAATTTTGCGTGAAAATTTGGCTCTCCAATTAGAATCTGCTTATCGTAAAAACGCTGAATATGCTTGGATTGAGCTTAAAAGACGTTTAGACTATTTGAAAGAAGTTCAGGAGACTAAAGAGCGTTTTGCTAAAGAAGTTTATTTGAAGACTATTACGGAAGGGGTTTGTTTGTTTTTTGTGGGGAATTTTTGGAATTATTAAAATAGTCTCTTCAACAAGAGCGTATCCAGGGTGTCGGTTTCGGGAGGGGGGGCTTTTTCGACCATACTTCTTCCAATTTTCCTCCTTTCCCCCATTTCGGGGGGGGGGGGTGCTAGCGGAAGTGGTTTATTTTCTCCCTGGATACGCCTTTGCTGTTAAATTATCGTTTTTATTAATGACAGCCAAAACAATCTTTTCGGATCCGCGAACCAAATTTAAGTTTTATTATTCTTGCCGAACTGGATCTGTTCGAATTTTCTTGAATAAATCCGGTCTGGTTTTAAATCTTAAAAAAATTTCGGTCCACTCTGGACACATTTTATAATTTTGTATAAACCTTGCACTCTGATTTGTTAATTTTTAAATTTTTTTTGTAATATTTTTAAATTTTTTCAGGTTCGAAAAATGATCGAAATGAACGAGGGGAATATTCGAGAAAAATATATGGACCAGTGTATTGAAAATTTGAAGCTTTTAACGAAATAGGAGAATAAAGATTGAGGGAGAGAATATAATTTTTTAATAGGTTAAAAGAGACAAGTTAATTTTAAAATTATATAGTGTTTTTTGTTTTGTGTATGTTAAATTGGTTTTATTAAAAAATTAAATTTTCGGCAGTTTAATTCGATTTTTTTTGGGATAAGGCTTCTTTCTGTGATTTTTAATTTTGAAAGCAAAGATAAGTTTATATCCGATAAGTTTATATTCTATTAATTTAGGATTGATTTTTCCAAAAATGTAAGGGAGGTAAAACGAGTTACATAAGTTTTGGAAAATTTTCGATCGTGGACGTTTCTTGTACACAAGTTTATTTGTAACCTACACCTGTTAGTACTAAGGTTGGCGGATAGTTGGAAATCTTCGGATATCCGGTATCCGAATCGAAAATTCCGGATATCCAGCCTTTTTCGGATTCGGATCCGCCAACCTTAGTTAGTAAAAGTTTGACGTGTTCTGAAATAAGGTTTCAAAATTGGGCAATATAGTCTATTTAACTTTTTTGGCTTCGGCACCAATTTTTACCAAATTTGGGTTCCGGAGTCGAAGCACTAACTCTTTTTCCCCATTACAATTTAAATCAAATTCACATTTTTATTTTACAATAATCTATTCATTGGAGTCATTTTAAGATGATTATTATTATCAGATCGATTTTTAATCACATTTTCTTTTTTCACAATTCTGTAGCAAAGAAGTTTAAATTCCCTTCTAAATCGTCTCGACATAACATTGTAAATTATCGGGTTCAAAGCGGCACTAATATATTGAAGCAATCCAGTACCGTGATAAAGCCAAAGACACATCTGCGGTTCAGTACAGCCTTTTGCACTGTATTTAACTATTAAACGTTCCAAATGATAGGGAAGGTAGCAGACAAAAAATAGAGCGGCAATCATAACTAGAAGGGAAAAATTGAAGAGAAGTCTTAAAAAGAATTTGTGAATCTTATTTTAAACAAAATTTGACCAGTCATTTTCTTCTAGTCATCACAAATTCAGTAAGTATTGTGGTAGTATGAATTAGAGACTGGATCGGGACCCGAATCTATCCCGATTTAGATTCGTGTCTACATAGATTCACGATTTAAATTTCCGAATTTATCCGACTAGATCTCGAATGAAGATCTCGGTTATCGAGATAGAGACTTTTCGAGCTATCCCCTGACTGGGCACTCCCAGTCATACGAATGACACTCCCAGTCAGGTTTAGTATATAGGGCTGATCTACCCAGTGTTAATTTAAAGTTTATTCAGTTTATCCTGTTACTTCAAAACCCAGATAAGCTCTAGTTTATATAGGCCTACGTAATCCTAGCTAACAATAAACCCATTCGGTCTGTCCTTCTGTTAATTTAGAGTTTTTCTAATCATTTTAAATTTAGAGGAGTTCGTCCCAATTCTAGAGTAATAAATACTTAAAAATCATAGGATAGATTCATTACCTAACAGTAATTTTAAAAGAAAAGAACAATTTATAACCCGAAACCGGACATGAGAATTAACCGAGATTGATCTCATCTCGGTCCTACCTCTACATATACTGTCAACTCACTCAACATCTTCATAACTGTCTTGTGAGCCCTCTGACTGCGTAAAGAACTTCTTGTAAAAGAGTCTCTAGCATTCAAATCAGAATTATTTCCAGCTGTATTGCTATTAGAATTATTGCTAGTAGAAGGCAAATTCTCTTCTGTTAAAGCATTAAGTAATGTGCTGTTAGTATGTGAACTGCTTGTGTGTTTACGGACTAGAGAACTTCCAGCATTTAAATGGAATGAATTAAAAGTTGCTTCGTTTAGGGTTCGTAAAATTCGAATGTAACAATATATTACTTAAATAAAAGATTTTTTTGGGAATTTTAGAAAACAGACCAAAAAGAACAGGAAGAACAAATGTGAAGAAGAGCATAACCTGTACATATGTGTTTTTTAATTATAATCACAAGAGGGGGATTTTCGGGGGGGGGGGGGGGGGGGTAATTTGAATAAATAGTTTGAGGAGGACGTGTAGGGATTTTTTGTAGATGCCAAAAATATCCACAGAAATCTGTTAGAAAGATTCATACTTTCCACTAAACAACTCGGGCCGAAGTAAAATTTAAGTTATTCCCTAGTGCACATCTGTATATACATAAAATGCATTAGGGATGAGCCATGCCGAATAAGGTTCAGGGTATTATGAACTAAAAGACCCCGATACATTAGTGCCACATCTAGAAAAGCGGAAGATAGCCCTCTTTGATTTTCATCTCTACAACTACAACTCGGGCTGAAGTAATATTTGATTTTCATCCCAATTTTAATTTTCAACTTCTTCACCTCAAAAGTATAATTTTCTCCACTTCCATAATTTCCACTCCAACCAACAAAATCGCATTTGCTGCCTAATCCATTTGAATGTACATGTGTATGACCACAAAAATCCTGTATTACAAGCTTGAACTGAAAATAAATTACTTATTTCTTTACATTTAGCATGTTAAATTAATTCTATACACTCTTTTCCAAGATTATAAGGTCACCCCTATTTTTATTTATTTTTTAATGAAAAAGCGTCGAAATTTTTTTTAAATTTTTACTTAATATATATTTTTCTATTTATAATTTGTCTTAAATAAAACAAATTTGTAGCAACCTTAAAAAATTCTATAACGAAAAAATGAATGTAAAGTGTTCCGAGTATCAGATGTGAATGTGTGAATCAGACCTGGGCGAAACTCAAAATTTTTTTCTGACGAAACGAAACGAAACAAAATTTTTTAAAAATCGTTTCGTTAACGAAACGAAACGAAACAACCAAAATCTTACGAAACGAAACGAAACAAAACGAAACATTTTAATATTCAAAAAATTTTCAAAACTGCATTTATTTCGCAATTATTCGACCTCAAATACTTTATTAGTCGCCTATGCCTTATAAATTAGAGCCCGGACGGAGGGCTCGGTCGATATTTTTTTGATAAATACCGAAAAATACCGAATATCGAAAAATATCGAAAAAATCAAAATTTTCTCGGTCGATATTTTTTCGATAATATCGAAAAATATATATCGAAAAATATCGAAAAAATATCGTATCGAGCCGGGCTCTATTATAAATGATTTAGTTATTGGTTTATTTACAACAATTGTGTCCCATAAGCCAGGCCCGTAGCAAGGAAAATTTTCGGGGAAGGGGGGGGGTCAATCATTTTCGAAGCCGAATTTTTGGCGACGCTTTTTTTCAAATAAGATTGAATATTTTTCAAGTAAAATTTTATTTTAAGCGCCGCAGACGAAAAATTTTAAAATTTTGAAAGGCCGTAGGCCAAAAAATTCACTAGCTTGCTCCATTGCCTACCCAAATTGTCTCCATATCTCCATTTCGAGAGGAAGGCGATATAAGCTAGTGCTTCGCCGGAAGTTCCGGTTCCAGTATTTCCGCAACTCGCAATCCGCAATTTTTAAATTATGATGCGAGTCCGGTAATAGAATTTGTCGTCTATTAAGTAATATGTATATGTGGATTAGGGAGTAGAGTATAAACGGATTTGTAGTATATAAGTAATTGATATCTTCCTTTTTCAGCGCCGCAGGCGAAAATTTTGACAATTTGGGAAGGCCAAGAAGCCGAAATTCTTCTTTTTTCAGCGCCGCAGGCGAAAATTTTTTAAATTTTCAATAAAAGATGGTAAATTTTATAGATTTTGGCCTTAGTTTAGGCTTAAAAAATTGTTTCGTTTCGTTGAAAAATCACAGGTGTTTCGTAACGAAACGAAACGAAACAAATTTAAAAGTGTTTCGTAACGAAACGAGACGAAACAGTAAAAATCATACGAAACATACGAAACAACGAAACGAAACGAAACGTTTCGCCCACGTCTGGTGTGAATGTAACAAATTCAATTATTTTTAATCGTACCTGCAAACCAATGAATAATGATGGGAAGAATGAAATGAACCAAATAATGATAATTAACCAAATCTGAGGTAGAAACAATTTAAAAATTACATATATCAAAAAAATTATTTCAATAATACCACAGCATCTCGATGGAAAAAAGGTTTCAGACTGAAAGGGTAGCAAATAGCCACCAATCTTTCCCAGGTGAGACTGACAATAGTGAGAATTGAATTGAAGGTGAACCAGCTAATAAAGGTGCCTAAAAGATATTTTTTTCTAATTTTGAAGAGATACTCTACTTGTTATTTCACAAAATCCATTAAAAGGTGAAGTAATAAATCTGGACTTCCATAAAAAGAAAACATCAAAGGGGACACCAACGAGTATTAAAAGAAGATCTGATATAGCTAAACTAGCTAAAAAGTAGTTGGTTTGGGAATGAAATGAAGGGTTTCGATGTATTACCTGAAAAAAGGAAAAATTTTTTGATTATTATAGAAACTCATAGTATAGTATAGGACATGGAAGGAATTTAGATTTAAGAAGAAAAAAATAATAATTAAATTCTACTTAATATGCAAAAATACGATTATAGTTGCATTTAAAGTTTTCGTAACGTTATGTGTTGCTTATTTCAGCTGTTGTTGATAATATTTTTGGATAGGGAATCTAGATTCCCTAAATAAGAATTGAAGTTTAAATTTCCCGATAAATTTTCAGAATTTCACGATCTGATTTTATAAGTAATAACTTCCTTTAAACATAAGGTATTAAAAAAATAACAGATCTGAGTTTATCACTTCACAACTACTATTCCAGAAAAAAGTTATAACCCAAAAATCCGATCCCTAGTAATTATTAATAATTCTGAAAATGTTATTTCCTCACCATAACAGTTAACAGATTTCCAACAAATCCTGAAAGCCCTACAAAGATAAAAACAGCAAGTAAAAACCAAGTTGTAATATTGCTGCTGATTGGTCTTAAATTAAAAAAAAATATTTTGACAGATGAAGAAAGACTCACATAGGGACATAATCCATTTCTGCGATATATTCCCCCAATGATTTTGCAAAATCGGATACATCCTGACTTGAACAAAATGAACGAAGTGAGGGAATGTCAAGGTGGCTAGTCTGGAAATTAAAAAAATTTTTTTTTGGAATTCTTCTAAACTGATATTTTTGTAGCCTGACCTTATTTCAAAATACGATAAATTCTCTCCCAAAAATGCCGTCGGTAATACGGTACCGTCCTGGTTCTACTTAACGAGTATTTTTAAACCAAAAAATTCTAAAAATAAATTCTCTATATTAAAAGTTTACCACAGTTCCATTTGATAATTTTAATTGAATATTGCTAAATTGCAATAAAACATCAGGCCCCAATCCATCACGCAAGTCTGTCTGTTTAAAAATTTTAATTCTACGTATTTTGAAGTTTAAATTTTAATTGCTATGACTCATTCAATTTGAGGGAACTACCGGTTTACAAAGCTATTCTGAGGTACCCCCCCCCCCCCTCAACTACATAATTTCCTCACCTAATGTAATTCTGACTAATCGAGATGTCAATTCACGTAACAGAACTGAAGAACCGAAAATTTTTGGTTTGGTTTTAGGTTCGGCTGCGGAGATCCTAAGAACTCTTAGAACCGAGAAAAAATACATTTTAGGTTCATCAATCAAGAATATATAGTATTAGAGATCGGCCTTAAACTTACTTCTTCCTGGATACAAAGGCAAGATTAAAGCATTTTTCAGCGTTTCTAGACCTTTATTTTTCTTTAAGACCAAGAATCTGGTTAAGGTTCTCAACCAAAATCAAGAATCAAGGTCAAGGTTTTCCGATCTTTAGTAAGTATATGGATGCGTATTAGTGTAGCACCCCGTTCCCCGAAATCCCGACCCCCGATGAACTTTTAGGCAAAAACTCCGACTCGAACTCCGACGGCTCTACCTCGGCAAACACCGATCCCGCCCCCGAAGGCTCTGGGTGCTACGCTAAATCGTATAACATAAATAAACGCTGAAATATGGACATAATTGTTTTTAGATTTTCTGATTATCTCTCCAACATTTTCCTAGATCACGATAGTTTTTAATAATTATTTTAAAATTACTAGATTTGAAGGTGGTGTTTCGACAGGGTTACTATGAATTTTATAAAATTCAGGTACCGTTAAAGACGAATTTAAATAATTTGAAGAAGCCTGACTTTCTGTTGAAAGCATTTTTTAATTTTTAAAAATTTTATTTTAAAAGGTAGACATTAAAAGGAGAAATATTTATTTTAAAATCAATGTTTTTTCCTTTAAAGCTGTCTGGGAAGGCAAATTCACATTTAAACAAGACATTGATTTTAATTGAATAAAAGTGCCATTAAAGCAGATCACATGTAATTTTAAATAAATTCTCTTTGAGAAAAAAAGGGAGAGAGGGAATTGAGAGAGGGATTTTTAAAAATTAAGAGAGTTGAGAGAGACTACCCTGGGTAATTATTGTTTCAACCTTCCGCTAGAGGGAGTAATTAATCGAGTGAGGGTAATTATACGTGTTTGAAATTTGAACGTGTTTTAGGGCATTTGTTGGGGGGGGGGGTAATTATTGTTTCAATCCATTGCTGGATGGGGTAATTAATAGAAGTGGGGTAATTATTTGAGGGAGGGTAATTAATACAGGGTTTACGGTACCATAAACATCTTTTCTACTATAAAATTTTTTTATTTTAATGTTTCAAGACTTCACAATTTTCTCTCTAGATAATCTAATGGTAGAGTAGATAACCTCAAATAAATTTTGAATAAACTAACAAATTTTTAAAAATATTAACAAAAATTTTTGTTTAACCTAAAGGGATTTCCTTTATCCAACAAAGGACAACATTTGAAATTTCATAGTCTTGGGAAAAATATGTAAGAGGAACTAGGTCTATGTTTTTTGAACTCTTTTTCACTTTCTGTGAGAGAAAATGAGAAAATTTAAATGGAAATTTTGTTCTTTATACTTATGGAAGGATACATGTATGGAAGGATATACATATTAAGAACTTTAGTCTTCCGGTTATTCTGTTTTTTGATAGAAAACAAGTTAGAAAAAATTTTTTATTGGCTAAAAAATATGTAATAATTTTTAAAAATTAAAAAAATTTAAAGAGAAAAAACAATAGAGAGAATCATTAGAAAAAATGTTTAAAGAAATGTCATGAAATTAAAAATATGTAGGTATTAGGCAAAAGTATATGAAATAATGACCGACAAAATCGAAATTGGGAGATTCGGAAGGGAGTGAAATTTAAAAATGTTTGAGGGAGTAAACCAAGTAATTTAATTCTGAAAATTAAAAATTATGAAAAAAATCCTGTGCCTAAATAAAAAAAATTATAGGAAAAATCCCATGCCTGTCATTAAAATAAACCTTTGCTGTAAGAGATTATTATGAAAAGGTTAATTGAAAAATTTTTTTTAAAAATATAAAATTTTCGGAATATATGTATGTAAAGAATTTTAAAAAAATTTTAAAGTAAAAAAATCAAATGTTGATTTAATTATAAAATTCATCCGTCACAATATGTTTAGAAATATCATATTTGAAAGGTTTGGTAGTTAAATCATTTCCAAAATTAGTTTCAACAGAACAAAGTTTGAGCCGAATCCAAGGCGTATAATTATTATCATCTTTTACTTTTATAGCTTTACCTTACAAAAAATAATTTAAAAAATTTTATCCAAGCCCATTCCGAACCAGACCTATGTTTTTCCTGTTTCGTTTTGTTTAATGACGAAACAGTTTTCAATTTGTTACGTTTCGTTAGCGAAACACTACCTATTTTTTAAGCTAAAATATTGCCCAAAAACTGAAATGAACTGAAATACATAAGTAAATAATTGCCTGAAATTAACTGAAATAATTGTCTACGGCGCCGAAATTTGAATTTTAAGTGCCTACGGCGAATGATTTACTATATTTTTTTGAATTTTATGTTTTTAATATGCAAAGTTGGAATTCTATTCCAGATTAAGCATTTAGAATGGGTTTATCTGTTAATGCCAACCAGGAAGAAAGTTAAGAGTGGTTAAGGAACTTTGAACTGTTTTTATGGATTTATGTGTAGGAAATTTTTAATATTTTTTTATCCCTATAATAACTTGATGGCGAACCATGACAAAATTCTTCCGCTTAAAATATTTTCTTAAAGGTGAAAACCCCATCCCCTCCTTTAAAGTTCGAAATGGAACTCTTTATATTAAATTACTAACCAATTAATTGACCGTTTTGAGTAATGAAAATACGTGTTGGTGATATTCCAGTCATCTTTGTTGGTGAATAAATTATTCCACAACCATAAGTATCGCCATCGTTAAATGTTAATGAAGGGAATGGAATTTTCCCCACTTGTCCCATATGTCCATAGCAAATAGCATCACAAGTTTTGCTAAGATAAACCATTTCCTTATCCCTAATAAGACCAAACACCATCAAAATATCATCTTTATTTTCATTTTCAAATTTAATTTTTACTTCAAAATAAAATGAAGTAAAAGTAGAACAATCATTTGTTGGTTTGTTGAATGTATTTTCTGATACAACAAAATAAAGTTTATTCATTCCTAAAATTGTAGGCATATTTATTTTATAATATTTGTTTAATAATTTGCCAAACTAAGGTATTACTGTTATCTGAAATCGGTAGAGGAAAACTTAAATTAGTCTTTTTTGGTCAGGCGATAATTTTTGTATTTTCAAAATTATAATTCCCCCGAAATAGGTATTACAGGGTGGATAAAAAAGTTACCGTACTTTATTTAATTCTCATTATTTTTAAAAAATTTACTCATTTTACTCATTTTATACCTAAAATTCCATAACTTTCTTAATCCTTAATCCAAAAATTTTTGATTTTACTATATAGTATGATAGAGAATATCGAATAGAGAATATCGAAGTTTCATAATAATTATTATTCATGATAAAATTATTATTTAGGCGAATCTATAATATATTAAATTTGTTTATCTATAATGTTGTTATATCCTTATGTTAATATCCTTATGTTTAATTTAACTGAAATTGTTAAATTAAATTATTAGATAAACAAATTTAATATATTATAGATTCGCCTAAATAATAATTTTATCATGAATAATAATTATTATGAAACTTCGATATTCTCTATCATACTATATAGTAAAATCAAAAATTTTTGGATTAAGGATTAAGAAAGTTATGGAATTTTAGGTATACCTTATTAAAAATTTCCATGAAAATCCCTCCAAAATTTTATTCTCTGTACCGAAACAAAGAGAAATGCAACCGGGATAATCTCAACAGAATTTAATAAAGAAAGTAGTAAACCGGACGTATCTGAAAGATGAAAACTCTTACATGGATGTGGATGTTAGACAGTCAAGACAGTCTAACTAAGTTGATGTTAGACTGTCTTGGGGGAATGTGATCTTATATTTTGGTAGGGTTACGCAAAATCAATCTCTCTTAATTCTCCCAAATCATCCGGTATTTCCTGTTTATCATTCAAATGTCCTCGTAATTACTTCTAGTAACTCGTACAGTTATGTTCAGTCTCTAACATTGATCGGCCGCCAAGGGTTAACAAAATTCACAAAATCTGTAAGTTACAGGGGCGGGGGGCGTAATAATTTTTAGTCTTTTATTCCATTAACTAGGGTTGCACAAAACCGTTTAGCTAAACGGTAAACGGTATACGTGTTTTTCGGTAAAATTAAACGGAACGGTATACGGGTCTCAGATAAACGGCATAAACGGTATTCCATTTCTTATTCTACTAACCATTAAGGGAGCCGAACATGCTGGCTATCCATCCAAACATTGATTGTTCACATTTAATATATTTAATATTCTCATCATCAATTAATTGTATAAATCCATTTCCTTTATCACATGCACATTTAGATGAATTTGAATTTACACAAGTAAATTCCCAACAAACTCGATTATTAACAAAAAACTTCCATTTATTTGGAACTTGAACAAAATGCTAAAAAAATATTTTTGTATTTAATATGCGACAAAAAACTAAAAATATGCATTGGATCGAGCAATTTAACTGAGTGGCGCGCCAAACGCCAATTTTTTAAATTTTAAAAACACGCCAAACGCCAAAAATCGGCCGAAATCAACGCCAAAACGCCAAACGCCAAAATTTTTAGAGTCTATAAAGACTTAAAAATTACTGTTCATCTCATTTTAGCGCCGCAGGCGAAATTTTTTTAATTTTCAAGATTCCCAGAAGCCAGAATTCATCCTTTTTTACCGCCGGAGTGAAATTTTTGAGAATTTTGGAGGCAAAAAAAGCCGAAATTCATCCTTTAAAAAATAAGAAATTCATAGAACTCCTTGAGATTAAGGTGGATATGAAGGGATAAAGGGAGTGATGAGTATAACAGAGGTCATGAAGAGAGTAAACGATTAACGGGAATAAAGTTTTGGTAATATTGAACGTGACAGACCCCCTTTTTTCCTCCCCAAGTTTTTCCCCTATATTTTTACAGAATGGTCAGACTTTTTCCTTTCTCCCATCCCAATTGCCTTTCTATATTTAACAAAAAGGATTATTTAATTTTATACAAGTTAAAGTATATGCAAAAAAGTAAGAGGAGTATTAATTTTGTTCTCAATTTATAAAAAAATGGAACAACTTTTGGCAATTGGGAAGGAATCAAGGAAAAACTGTTGTTTATGATTGATTGTAGGATTTGTAGAAAGGCAATTGGGAAGGGAGAAAGGAAAAAGTCTGACCATTCTGTGAAAATACAGGGCAAAACTTGGGGAGGAAAAAAGGGGGTCTGTCACGTTCAATATTACCAAAGTTTTTTCTACAATCTATTAGTTTAAGATAAGGGCTTCCTCCTTTAAGCGCCGCAGGCGAAAATTTTGGAAGTCCAAGCAGTAGATTTCTTCATTTTTTATGCGCCGCAGGCGAAAATTTTGAGAATTTTGGATGACTGTACGCAGAAAAATTTCCTTTTTCGATCATCCCTTACTCCATTTATTTAAAAAAATTCCATCATTAGGGGTGTATATTTTTGGCGTTTGGCGCGCCAAAATCAGAAAATCACGACAAACGCAAAACGCCAAAAATCGGCCAAAATTAACGCCAAAACGCAAAACGCCATGGCGCACAGCCCTGGTGTCGACCAGGACTGTCCGCAAATGAAAAAATTTGCAATTTATTTATAAAATCCGCAGCCGCAATTCACATTTCGCAAGTCCAAAAACCACTCAATTTAGCCAATACGCAGTCCAAAACTGCGAACACCCTGGTCCCGAACCTATAACTCTACTAGAAGGGGTGGATATAGTATATAATGGAGAGAATTTTTACATACATATTACATGTTTTGCCCATTGAAATTAATAAAAATTTTTACAAAAACCAACCACTTTTTTAAACACAAAATTTTTTAATTCTTCAAGTTCAACAGCAAGTTGATAATTTGTTTTATTAAATTTATTATTTGTCTCATCAACCTTTTAAAAATTTTTAACAAATTTATTTTCAAAAGAAATTTTAATTTCTTTTGTGGGTTCTTGGGGGGAGGAGGTTATGGCTGTGGAGGAATTAGGGGAATTATGGGAGTTTACAACCGATTATTAGCTTTCAAATTATCGTTAAATTATTATTTATTTGTGTGGATATTGGAGAGAATGAAATCTTATTTTGCCCCAAGTTCAACAGAACTACTCGAGATAGATCGAATTATTCCGGTCTCTTCCTTAAGTTTGAGGATAACAAACTCATTAAAGGTTTTAAATCCGGTCGTGAATACTAATTTTTTGTTTATAAAATTTTTTATTCATTACCTCCAAATCTCTGTCAGAATTGTTCTCAGCCATTTTTAATTTCAAAACAAAATTTTAAATTTAAGTCTTAAAAAATTAAAAAAATAAAATCAACATAAAAATATAAAAATCTCTAGTAAATGCTTCTCGAAAACGTTTTTACTTAATTTTTCGAGGTTGGATTTTTGGGACTCAGGTTTTGACCTAAGTCTGGGACATTACATATTAACTTATACACATAACTTTTGGCTAGTTCTTGAAAATTTTCGATTAATCATTAAATAATTGAAATTTATATTAATACATAAGCTATCAGAATATCCCTCCTCAATAGCCTTATAAATAGGTATAAATTAACAAAAAATATTATGGAACACAAAACAAACGTCAAAACCTCAAAATAAACACATTTATTGGATCGAGTTTCTTGTTATAAATATTCAAAAAATTAAAAATTTTTTTAATAATCTTTAAATCTTATCCTAATGTCCTCCTACAATGGCCGTAAATAGGAAAATATTAATGAACACAAAACAATTAATTTAAAAATTCTTCATAAAGTTATTTATTTGTGTGGATATTGGGGCTAGCTTAAGTACATATATGTAAGTTAAAATTAAAAAAATAAATTTTTGGAACTCATGTCCCACAGTTTGTGCCTTTATATGTTTTATAATAGAGGTATTTACGTAAAATGATTAGATGGATGAAATAAAAATTAGAATGATGTAATAATTAAATGAATGAAGGAAAGGTTCTTCAAAAATATAAAAGTAGGGGAGGGGCAAAATAAATAAGGGGGAGTGGCCAAAAAAAGCAAACTAAAATTGAAACATTTTTAGGCTAGACATAAATATGTATGTATATGCCTGACTAGGATTGGAAAAATGCCAAAATAAATTACCAAAAAAATCAGGTCAACATAAGAGGCAACGGGTCAAATATCCAAAAATAATTTGAGGTAAACAAACTCATATTTATTTTATTTTTCTTTTAATGTATGTACTTATACTAGTCAAAATGTTTTTTTTGAATATTAAAAAATTAATCTGTTGAAATCTTTATTTATATTATACACCAGATGTATGTATGTAGTACATATGTATGCTTGGTTTTTTGTTTAATTTTATATAAAGGGTGGTACGCTCAATTCGTTGGTGTTAGGCTAAAACACAGTCCAACACAACAACGTTCAAGTTTGCTGGATTAATAGCTGGGGGATAAGGATAGAGAGGGATAAGGATGGATCTAAAGTATTATTATTTAAAATTAAAATATATACATATTTTATTCAGTTAAATTTATTTGTGATATCCAGTGATTTATTTAAATTAATTTATACCACACAATGGTAAACATACATATTAATAACACTAGAGCTGTCCAAGAATCTTGGTCTTGTGTCTTGACTCAAGACTTTTCTTGGGGCTTTTCGGTCTTGAGTTATGTGGTCTTGTCTTGGTCTTGGGTCTATTTATTGGTCTAGAGTTTTGGAAAATTTTTGGTCTTGGACAGCTCTAAAATACACATCAGGGTTGCCGCCCGAAACCCAAACACGAAACAGGCATTTTTTGTACCCGAAACCCATGACCCAAAATTGGTTAAAACCCGAAATTTCTACCCGAAACTTAGCCTTACCCGATTTTTTAAAAATAAAATTAAAAAATTATAGAAAGAGAAAATGTAGAAAGAGGAATTTTCAAAAAGGAATTTCCGAAATTTCCGAAAGAGGAATTTCCGAAATTTTCAAAATTTTTGCCTGTGGCGCTGAAATAAGAAGAAATATTGCCCAGTGGCCTTCCGAAATTCTCAGAATATCCGTCTTCTTGGTCTTTTAATATTATCAAAATTTATGCCTGCTGCGCTGAAAACGGGAGAAAATTGGAGGCTTTAATGGAGATAAAGCGGAGGAGTATTAGTATATAGTGGGATTTTATCAAGGGACCTACTAAATCATTATATCTGCCTTAATCATCTTATATCATTGCCTTACAATTGAAGGGATTTGAATATATATCAAGTGGTATAGGATGCTTGGAGGTCTTTCTTCACAATCTTTCTTAATCCTATCCAAAAAGTGTCGAATTTTCCTAAAAAATTCGAATGAAAAAGGGGGTAATCCCCTCAATACCCAGATATCCCTCTTAATCTCCAAATTCCCTGATATCCCTTTTAATCACCTAAATCCCACAATGTCTCTTTAATCTCTTCAAATTTGCCTCTCTATAACACCCAAAATCCTATTATGCAACATAGCTTATCTCATTACAATTTAGTTTACCAATACCCGAACACCCGAAAATAACCCGAATTTTTCGCCAAACCCGTGACCCGATATTTTTGCCTCCCCGAAACCTTTGACCTGAAATGAAAATTTTATAACCCGGAACCCTTACCCGAAGATTTTAAGTACCCGCGGCAACACTGATACACAAAATTTCGACTTTTAAACTTTAGGTTTCCCAAAATAAGCTCCCCAAGTTTCAATCTTGCATTCATTACTTCCTTGAGCAATCATAAATACTCCTTTCATTCCCCAGTCTTTTCCCCATGAATTAATAGCAAGCCAAAATGGTTGGACTTTTCCTGAACATGTTTGAGTTCCCCAACCAATTAAACGAATTGCATGTCCTTGTGGATTTTTGTTTGTTGTTCTCTTAAATTTTATTAAGTTGATATTCATAATTAAATTAAAAATTTTGACTCTTGAGAAAATTGCGGTTTTATATTACCTTATAAACTCCTTCACCATAATGATAGAAATCATCATAAACATCCATTATACCCGTAATTGGACCGTTTGCTTTAATTTCGGCCTTCATTGTCTTAACTGCTTCTGAAACAGCCATATTCTGCCAAATCTCACCAGTTGATATAGCTAAAGTATTTTGAATGTGACAAGTGGCTTAATATACTACGTATAACTACCAAATTTCTTATCATTATTATATTGAATTGGCCATTTAGAATTGGTACATTTCGAGACACATTGAGGTGTAGGAAGAGGACCAGGAGTTTCTGGATTAATAGAATATGGTTTGCAACCGGTCTTTTGTTCGAAATTTGATCCGGAGACTACACCACTATTTTGCATGTATTGCCAAGCATAGTAGGGAGATCCACCCTTACATCTAGATTTATTTTAGTGGTATAAATTAATTTTAAGCTATTAACCCGCTAGTTGATGGTGTGCAACTAAGAATTTCCTCATCAGATGATTGATTATCCGGATCAGAGACAGGCGTTTTTAAGCCTTTCTTAGCTCTCTCAATACAGAACCGATCAGTGAACGTAGATGAACTTGCCACTGCCCAACAATCCCCACATTGGCCTTGATTTCTAATGATGTTAATTATATCTGCACATTGTGGCCATTGTTTTCTTGAATCAAATTCAATATTGTAAGTACAGGAGGGATTTGAACGCTTTGATCGTAATTTGCTGTTTGTTTTAAAATTTGGCGTAGATGCAGGAGCTTTCGGTGATTTTGTGTTTACACCACAAAATAGTTTTCTGGTATCCGACGTCATATTTGCAAATTTCTCGTTGAATTTTGCCTGAATAAAATTTTAAAAATAAATTTTTATTTGCAAATTACCTTCCAAGTAAAATCTTGTAAATTAAATGATTCAACGAAGGATTTAATATCTTTATCGATATCAAAGTCAAAATCAAATTCCTTTTCAAATATATCAAATTCATCAGATTGAAGAGTGTTTTGTATGAGAGAAAGCAATACAAAGCAAAGTAGACAAGGAAAATTCTGAAACAATTCGAATTATTATCTGGTATAAATCATAATTGTTAGGGTAGTGAGTTTAGTATAAAGTGAAGAGTTTAGCCGGCAACTTTCAGCTGAATAGCCGGAAACCTTCAGCAAGAGATATAGTCTTTTCAGAGCTTAATCCATCTTACTTCCCAAACGTTTTATCAAGAATTAACTAATGGCTCTAAAATTTAAGCTTAGATAATGACGCCTTTATCTATCTGTGAATGGCCGTTTATGGTGTTCGTATATCTTTAAGAACTTCCATTACTTTGAACGACTATTACTCTTCACTTGAGTTTTGGATAATTCTGGCTTTATAACTTGGGCTCGGATTTATATGGACGATCAATCGTGAAATATGGACATAAAATATGCACTATAAAGTCCAAAGCACTGACCAAAATGAATTCTTGGATTACTTTGGTCCAAGTAAACTCTAGAATAAACTCTTAGATTTAAAAATTGTATTATAGATATAACGTGGTTTTCTCGAATAAGATAGCTAAAATAACTCTCCCACATAATAGGCAATCAACTATTAATAAAATCATCTTAAATTTAGTTTTAACTAGCATTGTGTGAGGGTCGAATAATTTTAAAAAATATAGTAACTAACCATATTTTAATGAGGAATTAAATAAAAGCTGGTAATAATTATGTTTATACCCTTCAGTCATTATAATATTTATAAGCTTATATTTAGCTAAAATCCAACGTTGGCTTTTAATGCAACGTGGTTTATGGTAAACGATTTAAAATTTATAAGCTAAAAAAGATGATCAAATAAAAAGATATACAAAAATAAAAAATTTTTTATTTTAATTTTATGGCCGTTGAGATTTCCGTTTTTAAGCCAAAATTATGGAAATAAAATTTATCTTGATTCTGTCGTGTCAGCATGTTAAAACGCGGCAGAAGAAAAAGATGATGGGAGATGAAGAGAGAAAAATACGTCGGCGTATTGTCGCTTTTTGAATGGTTACGTAAACTGCGGAATGAAGCAGGTGTCACTTTTTTTTAAATTCAAAACGTTTCGATCATGATCATTTCTCGGCCAATTCAGATTCGATTTTGAAAATTCAATTCATTCTCTATCGACATAATAAATTTTATTTCTTTAAAGATAAATTTTATAGGTTAAAATTGGTTTTGAAAAATTAATTAAAATTAGAGCCCGGACGGTACCGTACTATGACTCTATTTTTCGGTATTCCGTATCGGTAGTATTTCAGATAGTAACCGTATCGTATCGTATAGGTACGGTAAAATTTTGAATTTTATCGGTATTTTTCGGTTTTTCAGTACGGAATACCGTGCAGCACAAAATTCATGGCTCTAATGAAAATTAAAAAATTTTAAGTGTAAATCTATACTTAAAGTTTTTTAAATTTCGCCTGTGTAAAAATTTGCTCTTTTTATTCGACTGCATGATTAAATATTTATTTACATATGGGTTTATAGATAAATTAAATAATAAAATCTAAAATGTAAAAATAGAACAACTTTCATAATTGTTTTCATTATAGACAAAAAGTTAAGAAATTGTTCTATTATTTCTGTTCTAAAAGTAACAGGCTTTTAAACAAATATTGAAAAATATATAGTAGAATCTTATAATTAAAATTAAACTAGAATATAACAATAGATTAGTTTTTTAAAAATAATCGTTAATTAATCTTTCTTTAATTTATCGTCATTAACTTCTTCCATTGTTTCCATATTCCATTTAATCCAATAATCATCTTCTTCCTCTTCTTGCATCGGTTGAAAATTAAGAGGGTTGTTATTCGGTTCTTCCAATGTCTGTAATTCTCTTTCCTCATCAGAATTATCTCCCAACAATTCTTCAGAACTAGAGATGTCTTTCTGATTTTCTATAACTGCTTCCCTGTGTAATCTCTTTAAAATATTGCGAACTTTATTAACAGTTTCCTCATTAACTTCAATCATATTTAAATTTTTATTTATTCTATATTTAAGCATATCAAAAACATTCTTTTTTATAGGAAGGCTTAAATAAATATAGGATTATGTTCAAGACCATTGATTTGAGTCTTGCAACTACACTTGGTAATAGTTCGGCTGACCCCCACCCTTTTATTCTTTTCTATTTTCTCAGTATAAAATTCGAAAGAGCTCTTCGAGCTGTGTCGGAAGGCACTAAAACCAACGAGATCCGACTTAAATTAACAAAGTTATAACCTTTTGTTTTAACCCCTTTGCATCGGCACGAAGAGATTTCCATCGAGGATTTAGCTTTATAATTTTATTCAGAATGATCAAATTGTATATCTTATCTTAGTATCATTAGACCCAACTCGAAGATTATTAATTAAGGATATTTAAATGATATTTAAATCATAAAAATACACATCTGCAGAACCAAACTATTGCCTATTTAGCACTGTAGTAAAGGTTAAATTACTTTCTTCTGTAGTTTTGTTAAACGGAAACGATTTACAATTAAGGGGTGAATTATAAGGGAGTGAATTATAATTTATAACAAAAAATCAAACAATATTTCTCTCTTCTTCGAAGGAACGCATTTGTAGAGGCATATTTTATGCACGGCCAAAACAACTTGTATAAATTCTCTGTTGGCCTTGATATAATCAAACGATACCTCGCCATATTTGTATAAAGCAATTATTCCTCGAATATATTCTATCTAAACACAAATAGTTTATTTTTTTGATAATTATATAATTATAGAATTTATGGCCCTATCTGAAATTAATGCTGCCATCCAATTTTTCCTTTCCTCCTCGAATGGGGGAGAAAATGTTAATTTTCCGGCTGTACTATATTATACAGGTTGTAAGGTAGAATCATACCATTCGATTCGTCTCAACGAGCTAAGTCGAACGGTACCGCTCTTTTTTTCCGGAGCTGCCTATAGGTCCCCGAAATCGAAAAACATGCATCACGACGAGGTGAAACGAACCATATCAGAGCGTCCAGGATTTGACCAGAACGAAGTTATAGCTCTGTTGTACGTTGGCCTCGCGCTCATTGGGATTTTATACTTGCCATCCTAGCAATAAAATTTTTTAGAATTATTTACGTTAAGTTGGCTATCTTTAGTTCTATCAAGTATTTGAATATTATATTTTGATTTGTTATTAATTAATTTCAAAGCTTTTGAATATTGTTCATTTGTATTTTCATAATCTTTAACCAATTTTACTTGCTCTTTCTCACTTGGATACAAATCCTTATCAATTTTTTGGTTGCAATTATTTTTCTCTTTTTCTCTTTCAACAAATAATTTTAATTTTTTAATATAAATTGGATAAGATTTTTTAGCTTTATTTTGACATTTTTTATTTTTTGGTCGTCGAACCGTTAAAATAAAATTAAATAACAATACGATAATCAGTAAAAGATAAATAATAATATTTTTGTTAATTTTCATATTAATCCTGAAAATATTTATCCTTATAATAGAGTCAGCCGGTATCGAGCGGTATTATACCGGTTTTTAAATACCGATACCGATTTTCCAATACCGATACCGATCGGTATTTCGGTATTAACAAAAAATTTGGAACCACGATACCGGCTTTGGTCAATCCCGATACCGAAGCCGGTACCGATACTGAATTTGTGTGGACTGATTTTGTGTCTGGATCCCGATACCGGCCAACTCTACCTTATAACGATTAAATAAATCTCGACGCTCCCTCCAACTTCATCCTCTATTTTTTCATTCTTAATATTACTATGTCGGAGAGAAGTTGGCAAAACATTAGAGTACAAAAATAGTCCCTAGCGATGTGGTTATAAAAAGATTATACTGATTTCAATTCGTCAATGGAGGAGTTATAACGCTTAGGGGTTATAATTTTTGTATTATTTATTTAGCCATTTAATTTAAATTAATTTAAATTTAAATTAATTTAAATTTTGAATACCCGCTTAATGTAAAAATTTATAAAATTTTTAAATAAATAAATGCATTATGGAAAACTAGTGCATTCCCCTGCTGATTCCGTAAAGCAATAATTTTTCTATGTAAATTTACATTCAAAAATAAAAAAGTTACAATAAAATGTATTTTAAAAGAATTTAAAAATAAAAAGAATTTAAATAATAAAAATTTAATAAAAAATTATAAGTATAATTAAAAAATTCTTTGTAAATCCCGACGGACATTTATTTCTCAATAGCTAAAAATAATGAAAGAGTGGCACTAAGGAAAAATAAATAAATAAATAAATAAATGCACTTTTTTAAGTAAATAAGAAGCAATTTTGGCTTTATCTTAGGACATACGTCCCATGAAAGTAGTTGTGTCCCATGAAAGTATATGCGTCCCATCAACAAAAAATTGGATTTTTCTTGGTGTTGCAAAGTTAAGGTATGGTTCCAAAGCATTTCTTCATGTTCCGGACCTACGCCCACTGGGTCTGGGACCGTTCTTTACCCTATCCCTCGAAATTTCTGAAAGTTAAAATCGGTTTTCTGAACCCCAAAAAGTGTTTGGTCCCCCATATATATTTTCAGAGGCTTGTATCTCGGTCCTCAGGCGAGACCGCAGCTTAATTTAGGTTCGTTCGATTCAGCTCGCCGAGCTCCTCGAATGACATATTGTTTGTCAGAATCGGTTTCCGGGGTATATGACGGAATTTTACCAAAATTTAGTTATTGTGAAATGAAAAGCCATTCATTACTCTCTAATGAGAGGTAAAGCAATTAACGCATGTGTTGCTCTCTATAAGGACGCAACTCTAATTGATTGAAATGCGTGTAATGGCAAATATTGATGTTGAAATCCAGAGAAACATTGAAAAACATTAATGTTCTTCTATAAATTAAAAAAAATAAAAATCGTGCAAGAAAAAATAGTGAAACAACCCGAACATTCAAAGTGCTTTTGACGGCAAAACTTAAATTTTTGCTTTATATGTGAAGGTAATTTATTCATCACTTTTCAATCTTGTTGAAAATAGTCTGATACCGGTGCCTTTTGCCGAACACTAAGTTGATTAGCAAAACTTTATTAACGTTTTATGAATAACAAACGTTAGTTTATTATCGAAGCCTAGTGATAAAACCATAAGGAATTACTACATACAGGGTGACAAGAAATGTTTAGGACAATTTTCATTTTGCCTTAACTTTTTTTCTCATTAATATTTTTTAAATATTTTATACTCATTTTATAGCCCAAACAATTCTCTTTCAGAGCTTTTAAGCCTGATTCCACTATTGACCATTTTTATTAAATATATAGCGTTCGCAAAATTTCAATCCTCCCAAAGTTCAAAAAAGCACTGTCCAAAAATTTTTTTAAAAATCACGGTATAATATTTTCTGGGAAAATTTTTTCTAAAACTTATTTAGTGAAGTAGGCATGAATGTCGACTTTATAAAAAGTAGAAGAATTCGATCAGTAATTACACTAGAAAACGTGAGCATGGATAAATTCCGAGTATACTCCAATCCACGGGTTACACTGAGATAAAGCGCCATGGAAACTGCTTTGGCTAGAGTATCTATAAGTTTTATGGGTTATAATGGACTAGGTTCTTGATAATCCAAAAGTTTGAAGTCGCTCCGATTCTTATTCGTTCAGGAAAGAGAGAAAATCTCACACGGTGAGGTGCGAACATTTGCCAAAAAATTTTACGCGCAACTTCTACTCTGTATCCAAACAAGGGGTGGGAACTTCGAAAATTCTTAATTATATTTGATCCTTAGTTATTTCTCTATCATATAAATTTTATTTGATCTCAATATCCTTACATAATTTATAAAAAAGTTATTCCTTAAATAGTTTGTCCTAAACATTTCTTGTCACCCTGTATATGTTGAGGAAGTTGGAATTTATATTCCATAGAATACCCGCTTAATGTAAAAATTTATAAAATTTAAATTAAACAATTCATTTAAAATTACATTTGTTCAAATAAACGGAGAATGAATGGTGTGGGGTTTAAAATAAATAATCGCTCTAATTGCTCAAAGTATATTTGAAATTTTAGATTAGAATAAAAGATTTCCAAAATAAATTTTCACTAATTTTTAATGTATTTTTTATTTCTGATTGAAACCCGAGCTTCTTTTTAAATTTCTGTTTTTATTTAAATTGAGAATTTAGTAGAGAATAAAAGATATACATATATGCCGTGTGTCAGCAGCTTCAGCAAGCAAAATTCGATGAAACCAAAACACTTTTAGGTATCTATTCTTTATCTATGAGTCCATACTGATGAAAATGCTATCGCATTTTTTCTCCACAAAATAAAAAAAGGGATAACGGAGAAGTACCCTTTTTCCTTTATCTCCATCTTTACTTCAAATAATTAAACTTTTAAAATTTTTCAATAAATATTTTATTTTTTGATCTTTTGGAATGGATATTTTTGGAATGGATCTTTTGGAATTGATATCCATAGCGAATTTATCCACGTTTCAATTTCTATTGATAGATTTTCTCGTTTTCATCTACACACATACATTTTAGCTGTTTGGTAATTTTTATTTAAATAAAAGATGATTAAACATTTTAATTATTTAATATTTACGTTTTATTTAATGTTTACGATTTTTATTAAATAAAGAGTTTAATAAATTTTTGTATTATTTATTTAGAATTTAATTTAAATTTTCGCTTTTGCCTCTCCACTTCATTGATTTAATTAAATTTTTGTTGCCATAGAAAAATTTAATTTTATTTTAAAATATTCTAACTCATTATATTTTACTTTAACAATTTTTTCTCAAAAAACAAATTATAATGTTTGGTTATATGTATATAATATAATCTTCAATTATAATTACAAATTATAATCTTCTCTGGCAATAGTGCTTTTCGTGTTGTATTCTCCTCTCCCTCTAATGGGATATACCGTATTTTTTCTAATAGTGCGACTGTCTCTATTAGACCGACCCCTTCTAATAAACCGACCCTCCTAGAGGATGGTTGAGAAATAAACCGACCGGTCGCACTATTAGAAGAAACACGGTAGTTAGAGTTAAGAGAACCTTAGAGTCTAAAAGGACGTTTCGATGGAAATTGGAACTTTCGGAAATTGAAATTCGACAGAATTCTGTTAGAAGTAAAAGAAAAATAAACGTCTTTAGAATGTTATTTATCATAAAGTAATAATCACCTTATATAATTTAAGGCGGGCATATGTCTCTTCCAAATTCACTTCCGTATTCAGAATCTAACGACAGTATCTGTAATATTTCAACATTTAATTCACTTGGATTTAGTAATAATGATTATATTAGTTTAGAGGATTTAGAAAGTCAACTTGATAAAGAAGCCCTTTTATGTTTTTCTGAAACTCAGTACAGCAATAATGATCGAGCAGTTATTATTAAGGAAAATAATAATGAAAAGAATACCAAATTGGTATTAATTTTGTTAATTATTTTTCCAAATTATTATTAGTCTGATCCTCTAAATTAGGCAAGCATTTTGCTTAAATCATAACTGATAAGTGTACTACTTATCAGAGTGGGTCGGAACAGTCAGAGGTGTCGGAAATCGGAAGAGCCGGAGATCGGAACTGGCTTAAAAGTCGGAACTTGGAAATCGGAAATCAAATTTTTTTTCGGAAATCGGAAGGAAAAAAACGCCGGAAATCGGAAATTGAGGGATATTTTTGAGGGATATTTTATTACATTATTTTTCAGAACAAGAAGCTTAGGCCAACTGATTGTGTTGTCTGTGCCAGACCAACAAAATGTTGCCATTTTGATGTTCCAAGTTGTTTAGGTACGTCAGAGCTTTTCCAAAATCAAATAAATTTTGTCCTTAACATAACATAAACTGAATATTTCCCTTGTGTACAGGTTGCCGTTCATTCTTTCGTCGATCTGTACTAAATCAGCGCTCGTACATTTGTAAGAAAAATTCAAATTGCCAAATTGGAAAAGGTATTCAGAAAATTTTAAGCAATTTTGAATTTAAATATTAAAAAATTGAAGGGGAACTTTGCCGTTCATGCCGTTTTGACCGTTGTCTTTTATGTGGAATGGACTTTCGAACTATACAAAAATTTCCGGATGGATTTAATATAGAGCAAATTTCTGCATTATTAACGGAGAAAAAACGTCAACTTAAGGAAAAATCTTTAATAATGGTAACGGATTTTGCAGGGATGAGCCTTGTTAGGATCCAGGGATGAGCCGTGCCTATTTCATTATTATTATAATAAGACATCCAGATCCGAAAATAAGCAGGATACCCGGAAACTTTCGGTTCGGATATCAGATCCGGATATCTAAAACTTTGCTAATATTCGCCACCTTATTCCTTAATTTAAAAATTTCAATGAAAAATGTGTGGTTCGGGGCGTGTTTTCAAAAAGTTATTGGATAGGGTTTCGGAAAAGTCTCGGTTAGAGTTTCGAGTTTCGAGCCGGAACATCACCTTTAAATTCTAACTTAGATAAAAATTTTGGCTCAAACTGCCTTCGATGATTACATAATTTAATTTCACTAATTTTCATAATTTCTTTCAAATCATTTTTATTATTATTATTTTAGAAAAAAGAAATTGTAGTTAGAACAGAACGACCTGAAGTTGAATTATTACAGATCTTGTTATACACTGACAATAATCTTCTGCATATTCGATACTCCGAGACAGATCTTTCTTCATCAATTTTTTATAATAAAAGTATATCTGATATTATAAATAATATTGGTGGAGGAGGTTTAAATTATTCTATCTTGTCAAGATCTGATCAATTTTCGGTAGATTACGTTCACTTTATAATTATAAATTTTCTTGCTAAAATTTATTAGAATCAGAGGAGAGTACCTAAAAGCCTTGCCTTTTACCAGGAACGAATGAGGGAAAGTGACAAAGGGATAAGTGAAGGCCCTGTATCTCCAAATTGGCTTTTCATCGACTCATTTTTAATTATTGAAATGACAAAAACATTGCCAGTATTAAATCAACTCTCATTTGAAGACAAAGTTTATTGAAAACATATTAAAAAATGTATAACACAAAAAATTTAGGTTAGGCTTTATACTCGAAATGGATTGGCAACAATTGTTTTTAGTCAATTATATTACAGTTTAAACATACAAGGAAGCGAGTTTCTTATATTTCCCAATGGATTTAGTCCTTTATTATTACATACTCATTCGAAACTTTTTTATCTTGTATTCTACAAGCATATAAATATAATGAAAGAATTTAATCTGAGCAGAGAAGAATTTTTGATTATTCGAACATTAATTTTTCTTCACTCAGGTTTGAGCAGAAATAAATACATTCAAAAGATATAGTTTAATAACCGGAGTTTTAGTTTCGACACAAACGCATACCATTCGATTCGTCCCGACAAGTTGAGTCGAACGTTATCATTCTTTTTTCCTGAGATGACTTTAGACCGAAATATAGGTCCTAAGAAATCAAAAATCCATAGAGGTGAATAAGCTCAATTTTGGGGTCTTCACACAGGTTTGAGCAGAAATAAATACATTCAGAGGTATATGAAAATTTTAGCTAAATCAGACTTGTCAATGATGGGATATGAAATAGTACAAACTGAAATTGAAAAACTTTCTAAAGCTTTAATGTTCTACGAATGTCGTAAATTGGGTGATACTGGCGGGGCAGGGAGAGTTGTTAATTTGGTAAAATACTTGATATATTTTTCTCTAATTTAACATTTGAAAGATGATGACCTTAAATGCAGCATTTCAATTTGAAAAAGCTCATCGAAAATTTCTAAATCAGAAAGGTAAGCAGAAGAAGATTGTCCCTAAATTTATGCATGTAATATTAGAACATTCAGATGAAAGAACCTTAAGCTAAGAATTGTGATATTTCTAGAGATCGGGTATTTTGATTTTTGTGGGTTTCATAAACAATATTTATTCAAACTGGCTACAGTTTGGGTTGGTCGAGGGACCACTCCGAACCGGGTAGAAACATATGTCATTCGATTCGTCTCGGTGAGCTGAGTAGAACGGTACCACTCCCTAGGTGCGGAAATGTCTTGGACCAAGATACATGCCGCTAAACTTGTAAAAACCATAAGGGGACAATGTTGATTTTTGTGGTCAAAAATTCGATTTTTAAATGATAACTCATTCGAAAGAGCTCGACGGGCTGAGCTCGATCCAAACTTGCCCAATCAAAGTAATTTCGGTGTCATTTGACAGATTAATTGTAATGCCTATTTTTTAAAACTCAGTAATAATGTAAATAATATATGTAAGTAGATACTTTCATCTCCGAAAACAACACATATTTAGCCTCTTTTCTATTATCGCAGCAATATATCTAAGTGGCTGTGCTTTACTTTCTCCAATATTTTCTTTCCCATTATTTTTCAAAGCAAATGGCCTTTTTTCAATCAATTAAACCAAAAAAATGTTTTATTTAAATAAACTATTAATAAAAAATATTAAATATTTTTGTATTTTTACAATATTTAATTATTTATCATTTTTAAATAATACATATCTGCCACAAAATGTCACATAAAAATATTTCTTTTTGAAATACAGACATCAAAACCGAAAGGCCATAAATGTTTAGGATAAAATTTTGTTTTAAAAAATGCAAGCTCTTTGAAGAGCTCACCAAGTATGAAGATAAAAAAATTTTTTTAACAAAAATATAAACTAAAATCAATGTTTGGCAGAACGGTAGTGCGAAACTTGCGGACCGACTTTTGCGGACCATAGGTTTAGGTTTTTGTTTTTCTATCGTAACTTTGTCCAAGCTTGTACAATCACGATGATTTTGATGTCATTCGACTCAGCTCGTCGAGCTCTTTCGAATGAGCTATGTTTTGAGAAATTCGTCGGATCCGCAAGTTTCGGTCCGCAAAAGTCGGTCCGCAAGTTTCGGCCTGCCGGCAGAACATGTAATAAAAATTATAAGATTAAAAGATTTTTTAAAAATATTACCAAATTAAAATGTTAATCAAATTAAAATCTACTGTAAAATTTTATAAAGTTTATAAATAGTTTTTATCATTTTGCAAACCAAAGAAGAGTAAGAATGGCGAAGAAAACTTTAAAAATATAGAATATTTTATAAATTAGTTTATACATTAATTATTAAAAACGTGGCAATGAGATTATTTTAAGAAATAAATTTCAAAATAAATTAATGAACAAATTCGGAGAAGATAACTTTAATTTAATTAATTCAATAAACATAACTAGTTATTTAACAAAAAATTTTTTTGCTATAATTTATTTTATAATTAATAATTAAAAATATAAAATAACAATATAAAAATTATAAAAATAATTAAAATTTTTTTATTAAGCGATAAATTAAGCGATACAATTTAAATTTAAGAAATTATAATAATATTTTATTTTCAAAAATCAGTATATAAAAATAATAGAGTATATAGCAGAAGAATATATGTCAGGTCAGGAAGAACATATGTGTGGACACACACACACACAGATATTTTGTGCAAGTTGAGAAATGATTAAAAATAAATGGTGAAAATATGTATTATTATTTGAAAATTTAAATATTTAAAATTATATGTAAATTAATAATGTAATAATTGCGTTGAAAAACATTTTAGTAAATTTTTAGATTAAATAATATTTGTTAAATTCAGAATTTGACTTAAAAGCAACGAGCTAAGGAGAAGCTCAGGCGCTCGATTGAAATAACTATAAATTAATTAAAATAATATAAATTAATTAAATGTACATATATTTAATGGGAATTGTTATATTGTACAACAAATGTAAAAATAATTTAGATATTCGAAAAATTACAAATTTATTCTTAAATTTTTTAAAAACTGATGAAGAGGATGAATAAATAACATAAAAATTAAAGTATGAAGCAACAAATAACTTTAGTATAATAAAGTATAATAAACACTTTAGTATAATAAACATCGTTATTAACATTAAAATCTACATATGTGTTATACTATTAATAATAAAACAATAATTAATAATACAATAATTAATAATAAAAAATATACTTCATCCAAATTGCAATGTACATTCTACCGCGACGAATAACAATTATATTATATAATGAAGAATAATTATATAAAAGCAGTTTTTTTACTAATTTCCTTGATAAAATTTAATGATTTAAAAATAAAGTGTTCCGACAATAATTCTGCTATAATATTAATTTTTTATTATTTATTATTAAAAAATTATTTTAACTTTTTTATTTAATTTTTTTGGGAATAATTTTCCTTTAGAAAGCATAAATTATTCTTTTTTTTGCTGTTCTTGTTGGGTTAAATTTAAGATAAATAAATATTTTTAAGTATTATTTTGTTTGAATTGAGGCCGTAATTAAAATTAAATTGAAAAATTAATAATTTAAAGAAGAAAAATTTAATTATTAAAATAAATTTAAATTAAATTTACCATTAGCACTACATATTATTTTTTGAAAATGTGAATATTTAAAGTTATACCAAAATTAATAATGTAATGATTGCGTTGAAAAACTCTAGTAAATTTTTAAATTAAAATTTAATATTTGTTATAATTCATAATTTAGCTTAAAGGCAACGAGTAAAGAGCAGCTCAGGCAAGAAATTGAAATAAATATAAATTAATTGAAATAATATAGTAAATTAATTAGATGTATATTTAGTGGGCATATTATTGTAATGAATGGAAAATTAAAAGAAATATATTTTTAAATTAAATAAATATTATTTACTGTAATTGTTATGCTATTCCTTTCCCCGCCCATACCAAAATTTAATCCTTGTCCCCCGCTGGTACTAACTTTTCACTCATTAGTCGAGTTCTTTTGTCCACAAAATCTAGTTCTTTTGTCCAAAAAATACTAGTCTAAATTAAATTTAATAATTTAAAAATATATGTTGTAAAGGCTTTAAAAATTGTGAATTGATGTTTTTAAAATAGTATAAAATTAATTAATATTACTATTAAAAATAAATTAAAAAATAAGCTGTTGTATTTATTTAATTTTAAAATATTATTTATTAAGATATATGTATAAGAATAAATCTTTTGTAAAAGTGATTATTCTTGATAATAATAAATGGCTTAGTCATGCTAATGAAGAAATTTTTTGAGCTGAAATCATTTAAAAAAATGTTACAAAAGATATAAAAGAAAAATGATTTCATTTTCAAGGAGATCGAATTGGTCAACACATTTATGTAATTTTTAAAAATAGTTTATTAATAAAATAATTGTTTCAAAAATATCTTAGAAATAACAAAAAAATATATTTAATGAAAAATAATCCATTTCATAATTTTAAGAAAAAGTTTGGATTAACTTAATTAAGAATATTCTCACTAACATAAAATGTGTAAATATTTAAAATATAAAATTAAGTTGTTAACTTTGTTACATAAAATTAATAACTATATTATAATAATTTATATAATTTAATAAAATTTAGTATAATATAAAATTTTTTACATTTTTTATATATTTTTTAAATAAATTTTTTAGTAAATAGACTAATTTGATTGTTTTAATTATTTATTTAATTATTTTTCAACAATTTTCAATTTTTAAGACAACACAAAAAAGCACAAAAGAGGACTTCGCATCGTTTTAGTCGTAAACGTTGTAATAGGATCTGAAGCTGGGAGATTGCTTATTTTGCTTATTATGAAAATTTAAAAAATGCCGAAAGTGTTAAATAATAAGAATAATAAAAAAATAATAAATATAATTAGGATTTATTTATAAATATCAAGAATACAGTCAAATGAAAAATTGATATAATTAATGCAGAAAAACAATAGTGAATTATTAGAAAAATGTCATGAAAATAAAATTCAACGAGATTGAATTTTTAAACAACTTGCAAAAAATTGCCAAGAAAACATTTTTCTGCATAAATTGTCCAAGCTTAAGTAAAAAAAGTCTAAAAAAGTTCTATTAAAATAATTATTATAATTTAATAAAATTTATTCTGTTAGTTTGTAGTAGTAGATAATCACAATTAAATATATAAAATTAAGATATTAATTTAAATATGTAAATATAATTTTTATAATATGACAATAAATTATTTTATTAAAAATTATTCAAAGTTTACTTAAAATGTATGTTTTATTGGCATTGAAATAACGACAAATTAATTATGAAACTTTTGCAAAACTTACGAGGATGGTGAATGGGAAAAATTAAACATTAAAAGGTTTAAACATTAATATTATTTATAGAGATTATATTGCATCAGAAATTGTATTGAAAATTTGAGAGAAAACATGTCTTTTTTATATTAAATTTAAAATATTAATATTTTTATAAATTTTATTCAAAAGTAAATTTAAAAAATATTTAAATCGTAATAATTATTAATATCTTCCTCAAACTGAATAAAATTTAAATTTACAGATAAATATTATTTTTAAAAGTTATGCTAATAATTCTTGATAATTTTAAATTTTTTAGAGGTTATGTTTTATAAAGCTTTTTTAATTGTTAAATTCAATAATATTAAATTTATTGACAAAAATGCATAATATTGTTATAATTGGAATATTGATCACAGAAATGGACCAAGCGATCAATATAAATTTTAATAATTTATTTTAAAATGTGTAAGCACTTTACAATTTTAGAGCGTATTTTATATTAAAAATATTTTTACTGATAAAAAGGGAATATTTTTCCACAACAATTTAAATTGTTTAAGAATTATTAGTTTTTTACTAATAAAGTAAAAATTATAATTTATTCATTGATATTTTAATTAATAAATATTTTAGATGTCAAAAAATAACAATGTCAAAAAAATTACAAAAATATTTAATTATTAAAATAGATATCATAAATTGAGGTCTTGTCGCGAAGCGAAGTCGAAATTAAAACTTATATTTATTTTCTATAACTTTATCTTTTTAATAAAAAAAGTATGCCGGGCCATTATCCCAAAATTTAAAATTAATTAAAAAAATTTTTGACGCATTTATATAACCAA